GAGTGTGTAGATATTCTCAGTGAACTCTTTCACAGAGGACTCAAACTTCTCCTAGTAGATATTTTATCCCAACTGAGTGATATGGACTTAATCAAGTAAGTATTACTGTTTTGTGCTTGTTGAATGTTTTTGTTATGTGGCTCAACACTACTTAACTGCCTCATCAAAAGTAGTGCTGGAAATGTGAATAAAGGAAAGTATGAAACATAGTGTATACACATTTTGTATGCAAACCAATATAATTTAAAAAAAAATAGTGTTACGCAGTAATTAACTGAATGACTTGCCTGAGAAGGTGGTATGTGTACCATTGAGGTGAAAGAACTGCATTGAAGTCCTTGAAAATTTTGTATATATCCTAAGCATTGTATTGCTGACCCAGTGGTCAACGGTTTGAACGAGAACCAAGCAGACCTTTTGATGAATAAAGCCATCTGGTTCCTTAAAGCTTCCTCTGAATCCCTGAGGGCCATGGAAATCTTTATAGGGTCATATACATTGATATCAACTTGATGACAGTGGGCTTGGATTTTGGTTTTGCTTATAGGAAATGATTTCTCTCAGATAACGACCTTTGCTCTTTCCCAACATTTATGGCTTTACTATAAAACCACCTTTCTGGTTTCAGTATACAGGCCCAATAAAACAAAATACCAAGCCCATTGCTTCAATCCAGTTCTGACTCATGGTGAGCTCCGTCCAGTTTCCAGAGCTGTAAATCTTACAGGGAGGAACTGCCTCATCTTTTCCCCAAAAGTGAGTTAAAACTACCTCTCAGTGAGTGATCCACTGCCTTATACACTGCACTACGAGTACTTTTTTACATCCAATAGATGTTGTGATTCATAATGGGAACTTTATATTGATTTCTAAGAGAATCAGTTTGAGAGAATTTTGAAATCTGTATATATCCTTTATTAAATATACCACTAGCATGATGCTGTATATCTGACGTATCTGCTTACAGCTAGGGAAAAGTACAAAACCGTGATTATTTTTTCTTTTTAAAGCTTGAATGTACTTTATAATTAATGTGGAATACAGTGTTTTTTTAAATGCAGAGGCTGTTTTTTTTTTTTTTTTAGTTTGATTAAATGAAGGTGATCAGACATATGACAGATCTTCATTAAGCGTTTTTTTGTGATACTTTAATTGTAACCATTTACTTTTCCAGTGTGGCTAGAGTGAGTACAACTTGGAAGAAGATTCTCGAAAATGATAAGGAGGCATTCCAATTGTATAATAAGGCAATGCAAAGAGTTTCTGTAAGTCTTTATAGTTAAAAGTTTTTCCTTTTTAAAATATACTAGTGGTGGTTATTATATGCTCAACTCAGAGATGACCCATTGCTGACCCTCCAGGTATTCAGAGGCAGTAAATCACATGGGAGGAGATTACCCATCTTTCTCCCACGGAGTGGCTGGTGGATTTGAACTGTGAGCTTTGGGTTGGCAGCACAGCTTAACCAATAAGCAGCAGAGCTCCCTCATACTAGTAGTAGGAACTTTTGTTTTCAAACATTCACAAATTATTTCAGCTGTTTGCTAGAGATCATTTAAAAAAGCAAGGAAGAAAAGTAAAGTGAAAACTCAGGAGAAAAGCAGTCCCACTGGAATCCATTTCTTCAATTCTTCTATAAATGTAGTGTCCAAAAATAATAGTGAAAAGATCTCAAATAAAGTTTACCATATATCTAGTTGTACTGGCCATTTGTGTACATATATCTTTTTTATAATAACATTTTAACAAGCTGTTTTGTTTACATTTCTTAGTTACCAGAAACATCCCACATTGCTATCTCTCTGATTCCCACTCATAGCTAATTTATAGCACACAGTAGACACCCCCACCCCCCCGTTTCCAAGGCTATGTGTGGTTTGTTGTTGTTTTTTTTTTTTTTTTTTTTTTTTTTTTTGGTTTTTTTCTGAACGTTTTATTGTGATTTTGGGTGAAAGTTCACAGAGCAAATTAGTTTCCAATTTAACAGTTCATATGCTCTGTGTTTTGTGACATTACAATTCTTTGACTGTAACAGTATTCTTCCTACTAATTCCATGGATTTCCTGCTTCTATTTACACTTCTTTCTTGCCTCTTCCTGCCACTAAACTTTGTTTTGGAGTAAATGCTGCCCATTTGCTCTAGTGTGAAGGGTTTGTTTTTTTTTTAAGTAATTTTAATGAGCATTTACAGAGATTGGATTTCCATTCATTCATTGCTGCAGTTGTCCTTCCCCCCCCCAGTTCACGCCTCTTTCAAAAGTAAAAGAAACACTCCTTCCCTGGTACACAGTCCCCCCCACACCCCTCCCACCGTCCCAAGTACATTCCACTATGCAATAGTGAATAATTTAAAAGCGAAGGATTTTTAAATTATTATTATTTTTTTTTTTTTTTTTTTCATGCGTGTACCGTCAAATTGGATCTGACTGGTACAGGAGGCGACTGTTCCTCCTTCTATAGCAGAGCATCTGGTGGATTTGAACCGTGCACTTCTGGGATTGGGATTTTTTTTTTTAAGGAGCATATTCCTCACAGGTGGTGCTCTTGATTGACTGAAAGCTAGTCTCTGGGAGTGGGTTGAATTCAAGGCTTGAAGGTTGTCAGAGGGCCAAACTAGGAATTCTAATCTTTTTGTGATCTTTTTTTTCCCTTCTGTCCCTGGCTTTCTGTTGTGATCTCAGTCGGAACAGTCAGTAGCAGAAGCTGTCGTTTATGTGGTTATTTAGTCTTTTAGACTAATTATTTCCATAGTTGAATCTCAGTTGCCATCGTTACTTGAAAGCTCTTAAAGCCCTGCTCACCACAGTAGGCTCTGGAAGATACTATGGGCTGCGTATGCCAATTGATGTAGGTATCTCCCAAGATTATGCACCTACACCCTCAAGCCTGCTTATTCAGTCCCTGAAAGTGTTGGTTCTGTGTACACTGGTATGTTGGTAGCACAAAGAGGATGCAGCAATAATTTTGTGCCAGAGTTAGTATCTTTACACAAGTATAGTAGGTTGCCTCCTATTTAAAAAAGGAGGGATTTTTTTTAAGCATCCTTTTTTCTAATCACTAGGACAAAACCCAATAAATTATCAATATACTGAAAGTCTTCCATGTAGGAGGGCAGGGCATGCTTCTACTTTCTGAAATTGTCACTTTGGGTATATTTCTAAGTCTCAAGATCATGAATAAAAAAAGATTTAATATTAAACTAATAATTTGAGTCATTTGGACTGTTTTTTTGGGTGGGGGAGCTTAAAGCAGCTTTATTAAGGGGCCTCCCAGGTGAAATTCCTTGGTCTGAGAGAGATAGACCTGTGAAAACCACTGGACTCAAATTTTAATGCTCTAGATTATAGTGCTTTGAAGTAGAAATTTGTTCACATTTACCAGCCACTCGTTGGTCAGTCTGAGTCAAGTCTGACCACTTCAGAAACCCCATGGAGGGGGTTGCTCTGGGTTGGAATCAACAAGTGTTAAATATTAAAGAAGTACTAGAATTCTGAGTTTAGTTTATGAAAGGTTAATGTTAATGCTAAAGTGGCATGGGGCTCTCTTGCCACCTACTGGTTGTAGGAAGAATGACATTCTAACGGAATTTGAGAGGTTCATACTTGTAAAGGTTAAAGTGCTATACATGCTAAACTTGTAAAATGTTTTCTCCCTATTTCCTGGTTCACAATGTTAAAAGTTAGTTCTAATAATCAAGGTTCAAATAGCTGACTGGGTTTTATGTCTGTATATCTATTTAAGTATGCACAAGTAAATTGAACATAAAATCTGTTGAGACTTTTTTCCTTTTTTTTAAAAAAATTAGGAAAATGTTGCCAAGTTTTCTCCATATCCATTAACCAGAGACCATGGGTTCTTCAGAACAGCATTAGCTTCTATTCAGAAATCAGCAGCGCAGACTCTTTCCCACAGAGACCCTCAAGCAAAGTTGTCCAATCGAGGTGATCAGCAGAGTTCTACTTACAGTCGACACAGTGAATTCTCTGAGGTATTTTGTTGTTGTTGTTTTATGAGTAAACTGGAAACATTTGGGTCATTGGTGGTTAAAAGGACTTAGAGTGAGAAATAGAAATGAACTTTTAAAATGGCCAGTCTCTTGCAGTGTGATTTACAGCCTCCAAAAACCCACTGAAGGGTCAGCTCTCAGTTGCTTTCAATTTGACAGCAATAAAATGATAATGAAGTTGTTCCCTACCAAGTTTAGCAGAAAAACCTCAAAATTATTCCCTTAAGGTCTAACTGACTCATAACTGGTCCTCCATCGGGTTCAGAGGCTTAAAAAGCATAGAGGAGACTGTCCATCTTTCTCTTGTGAAGCAGCTTATGAATTGGAACCACCAGAGAGGCACAGTTAACATCATACTGGAACACCCTAGTTTATGTGGAACTCTTCTCTTATCCTAGTCCCACAGCTGTTGGTGATTTAAAAGACCCTGTTTCTGCGGTTAAATAAGCTGGAGACCAGAGGCTAAATAGCTACAAAAAGCCAACTTGTAGGTTAACACTACAACCTGAAATATACTGTGTCACAAAAAGTCTTCCTATAATGTGATAGGTGGTAAAATAAGAACACACAACTCTTCAGGCTTGGAAGACTTCACAGGAAAGGTGACACTTAAGTTAGGCACTGATACTTAAGTAGAAATTGCTGAGGTGCAAGTACGGATTGCAACAGTATGAAATTGCCTCTGTAACTGCTAATGGTTTATTTGCATCCACGGAACAGTAAACTCATTAAGGGCAGGACTGGGATTATGTGTGCAATAGATTGTTGTCTTTTAATGCAAAGTTATTTAGTTTCCAGTGCACATTATTTCCGTGTGTTGTTGTATGTGAAAAATATGGTACATTCAGTCTTACTCAAATAATTGATTTTTTTTTCTCCTTTGTAGGCTGTAAAGACTTTAAAAAAGAATGAAAGCCTCAAAGCCTGTGTTCGCTGTAACTCGCCTGCAAAATATGATGACTATTTACAGCGGGCCACCTGCAAACGAGAAAGCTGTGGGTTCGATTACTGTACAAGGTGTCTCTGTGATTACCATACCACCGGAAACTGTTCCAATGGCAAGACTTTAAAAGCAGGGTATAAAATGGGACCTCTGCCTGGTTCTAAAATGAGCAAGAAGAATTTACGAAGATTGTGATTTCATAAGCTAATTATGATGGACCATGAAGGTTCTCTAGAGAGTGTTAAATTTTAACTTATAAAAAAAAATGTATTGTGATTATCCATTTTCGATGGAAAATGATTTGAGGTGTGAGACTTTTGCCCAGTAAAGAGAGGTCATAAACCCCTTTACGGTTTATGACTTAAGTGGAGAAATTGAAAATTTTCACTACTAATCAGAAAATTTAATATTTTAAACCAGGAAAACGATTTAGGCATTTATGTACTATTGGAGATTCCAAAGTAAAAATAAAATTAGCACTATGATAAAAGAAGGACATAAAGTTTTATCCAGATAATCTTAAATTTAAATTTTGATTACTGAGACCTTTTGTCTTTACCAACTTTATAACCAAGTAAAATTTCATTCTCTTGAGTCTGTTAAATGTTTTCTTAACTCTTTCAGTGTGTACTTTTAAAAAACTTAGCCTCTGTAATCTTCTGCTTGTTTCTCTTATTTCTGAAGTCTGTATTTTAATATTTTTGTACTTATGTAAATATTTCTGTATTTTTATATATGAAAGTATTAAATTAGCATCACCATATTTTTACACAAGTAATGTGGATGTTGGATGAGTTTTTGCAAACTTTACAATCCTCTCATGTTTGTTCCTGTTTTATATGTGTTGGGTATATTGTATGCGAGGAATGCAGTGTTTTATAAATGTGTGTGAAAATAAACGGAATAAAATTATTAGAAGCTTAATAATGTTTATCTTTAGTTTTTATAAACATAATGCTGGAAAGAGTGGAATTAAAGTTGTGCTCACCTCCTAAACAAAACCCATTGTCACTCAATAAATGGACCCACTTAACTATCAAGTTAAACACTATCCTATACCAAAAAACTAGCATTAGCCTGATACTGTAGTGCAGAGTAGCACTTGACCCACTGCATTTCTAAGACTGTAGAGCGGCTGGTGGATTCGAGCTGATGAGCATTGCATCAGCTGGGTTTTATAAAAATTGTTGAATCTGTTTCAACTTGGTGTATGTATGTATGTATGTACAGCCACGTCCTGCACCTTCCTCAGAATCATTTCCACCGCTCCAGGCACTTTGAATCTTCTTTTTCTCCAATCTGCCTAGCCTGGTGTAGTTTCCAGGTGCTGGTTCCTTCTGATATTACATCTCTGTATCTGCACTTGAAGGAACAATGTGGCTATGCTTTGTCCATGACAGATTTGTTTGTTCTGTCTAGGGCATAGTCAGTGCTCTTCACAAACTATTTAAAGACATTAATTTTTTTGTCTGATCTTCAACTTTCACGTGAATAAAAGATTGACAATACTGTGATTTCTTTTAACACACTTAAGTCCTCCAAGAGACTCTCAAAATTCTTGCCTCCAATGAGCAAACTGGTTTCACCCTCACTAGGATAGACCTGTTTTCTTCTCTTGGCAGTCTATAGTATGTATGTTCAATAATAATACTCTTCTTGAGCACCACAACTCAAAGGCATCGATTCTTCTGTCATCCTTAGTCATTGTCCAGTTCTCAGATGGATAGCAAGCAATTGAGGAGACTATGGCTTGAATCTGGTGCACCTTAGTCTTTAGACTGGCATTATTGCACTTTACCCCTCTGGAGAGGTTATTGTGAGTCAGCAAGATGAAACTGTTAACAATTTAAATGTTTTCTGTACAGTGATACTGCATGTTGGACCAATGGTGAACATTTTTTGTTTTCTTGATGAGGTGCAATCCATATTGAAGTATGCAGTCTTTGATCTTCTGTAACAAATGCTTTAGGTCCTCAGTTTTGGTGTGTTGTTTTTTTATTTGATTATTTTAAGGACAGTTTACAGAAAACTTGGATTTCCATTCATTCATTGTTGTACATAGCTCCTCAGTATTAGTGAGCAATGTTGTGTCATCTTAACAAAAGTTGAGTTTTCCTCCAATCCTAATGCCACATTCTTCATAAAATTCAGTGTCTAGAACGATATGTCCAACATATAAATTGAAAAGGTATGGAGAATGGATACATCCCTGACATAGACCTTTACTGAATTTTGAGCCCTTGCTTTGTTCAGACAAAGACAGCTTTTTGGTCTAACTATAGGGTTCACATGAGCATAATCATTTTGGGGTTCCCTTTCTTAATGTTAGCCATAATTTGTTGTTACACAGTCAAATGCCTTTGTATAGCTGATAAAACATGAATAAATGTCTGGTGCTCTGCTTTCAGCCAAGATCCACTGTATATCAGCAGTAATAATCCATAATGTCATAGCCATTCCCAAACCCAGCTTGGATTTCTAGCAGTTCTCTGTTGATGGACTGTTAACAGTCATTTTTGGATAATCTTTGACCAGATTTTGCTTTCATGTGATATTACCAATATTGTTTGGTAATTTCCACACTGTTGGAACACCTCTTTGGAAATATTAATACATATTGGATCTCTTCTGGTCAGTTGGCCAGGTAGCTGTCCTCCACGTTTGTTGGCACAAGCTGATAAGCATGTCCAGGGTTGCATCTGTTAAAATATGTCAATTGGTATTCCATCAGTTCCTGGTGCCCTATGTTTTGCCAGTTCTTCAGAGCAGCTTGAACTTCTTTTATTAACTTTGATAATAAAATACCATTTATTACTTTGTGCCACTGCCTTGATGTGGATTGAATTCCTACCACCTGGAGATGCTATGGATCTGAGAGCTGGACAATGAATAAGGATGACAGAAGAATGCATTGAGTTGTGGAGAAGAGAACTGGTATCCCATGAACTGTCAAAAGAACAAATTGTTAATATTTTGGGAAAAGTGCAGCTGGAACACTCCTTGAAAGCAAGTATGGCGAAGTTTCACTGCACGGAGAGTCTATTCCTTGGAAAGGGACATCATGTTAGAAAGGTGGAGTTAGCGAAAGAGGAAGCCCGTCAATGAGATACATTGTGACTGTGACTGCAGCAAAGGGCTCAAGTGTGGCAGAGATGTGAGGACTGTAGAGGGTTGGACAGGGTTCAGGTATGTTGTTCATAGGGTCTCTATGGGTTGTACTCAACTTGATGGCATCTACCAACATGCTGGATATTTGGGTTTGCATCTCATGTAACCACTGCTCCTGGTGGAGGTGTCTGTGTTAATACCAGATCTTCCCCAGCACCCTGAGGCGTACAGCCCCTTGCCCCAGAATCAATACTGGCCATAAGGTATTCACCTGTCTGTAATCTGATCAGGTACAGGACTAGCCAGTGTCAGCTAAGTAGAAGTAGGAGTGGTTTAGAGGCCCTGGGGGCTTGATTATACTAGACAATGGGTTGGTGATTAGAACCCACCTGAGATACCTCTCAGGACAGGCCTGGAGAGATCCTTTCCAAAGGTCACAGCTTTGAAAACTGGAAAGTTTTACATGGGTGGTGCTACAATTAAGCAGAAGTAACTGGAGGGCAACTAAGAACAGTTTACAGAGCTTCCTTTATACACACACTTAACACAGGGGACCTCTGGTGGCCTAGTGGCAAGAAGCTGCACTGCAATCCCAGAGGTGCATGGTTCAAAAAATAAAGGAGGCACAATCTCCTGTACCAGTCAGATCTAATTTCACAGTATGTACACACAACATAATTATTAAAAAAATTTTAAAAAGGAAAGTATTTAAAAGAAATTAAATGTTTTTAATCTTATCTTAATTATTTTGCTGTTGTGTGCTGTCAGGTGAGAACCAAGTCATAGTTGACCCTTCACTGGGTGATCTAGTGAGCAGTAAATTGCATGGGAGGAGATTGCCCATCCTTCTCCCACGAAGCAACTAATGAATTTAAACCGAGTGCCTTTAGGATTGCAGTGCATGCTCTTACCACTAGGCCACCAGAGCTCCGTATTATACTAATAAAAAGAAATTTAATTCTGATCACACTCACTTGGGATTTTTATTTCCTTGACACAAACTTTAAAGTTTCCTTTGTTGTATAGCCAATATAAGAGGAATCTAATTTGTGTTGACTTCTTAGAATCAGACACGATATTCTTCTTTTTCTTTTTTTATTTAGATGATGTTCTTATGTCTCAGTCTTAGCGAATTTTCCTATGAAAATTGCAAACTTTTTTCAAGAACTTTCTCTTCCAAATGCCCTGAACGTTCCTTTTTGGCCTATTTTCTGATTGCCCACCAGAGGGCATTGTAAACTCAGCTAAAACCCAGTTTGGAGCTGACCTTTTTGTCAATATCTGAAATGAAATTTCAGACTTGTTTAAAATGGTTTAATGTCATTACTCCAAGTGAGTGGTTAAGAGTAGGGACTCTAACTCCAAACTCCTTGACTTCCTTTCTCAGCTTTACTATTTTCTTCTGTTTACCAGCTTTGTGGCTTCTGGATGTAGCTTGACCTTTCCAAATTATCATTGAGAAAAGAATGGGACAAACAACCTGCTTTCGGTAGGGTTGTTCTGAGGATTAAAGGCATTTTATTTTTCATCCTTAGATATTAGTCAGTCAAGTTCAACTCATAGCCACTTTACGTACAACAAAACGAAGCATTGCCTGGTCCGGTTACATCTTTACCATCACAGCTGTGTTTGAGAGTCTTATGTAGTCACATGCCAGTTCATCTCACCGAGGGGCTTCCTCTTTCTTGCTTATCCTCCACTTTAACCAAGTGTGATGTCCTTCAGGGACTAGTCCTTTCTACTGAGGTGTCTGAACTAGGAGAGATAAGTCTTGCCATCCTTGCTTTTAGCATTCTTCTTCTTCAAAGACATATTTGTTTGTTGCTCTGTCAGTCCACAGTGTTCTTTCCTAATCTTTTCCAAAATAACTGTCAACAGCTTCATATGCATGTGAAAGCTGGACAATGAATAAGGAAAACTGAAGAACTGATGTCTTCAAGTGCTTTCAGCCCTGCATCCATTAGTTGTACCATCTAAATTTGTATTCCATCAATTCCTGAGGCCTTCATTTTGCTAATTCTTTCAGTACAAAGCACATAGAACTGTACCTAAAATGTGCTAAGCACAACAGTGTTACTAGAAGCCCT